ACCCTAATTAAAAAACAAACAGAACCCTATATTTATTAATCTTTCTAATAATCTTTCACACTGATTTTATTATGATAATTTTATAAAGGATAAATCTTTTTTTGTGAAACTGGACCGTATATTCAAAATTGCAAACTTGACATCATCTGGCTATATAAAATGTGTTCAGCTGCGACCTGTCACACCAAAATACAAAGACTTGGGAGACTCTGTCAGCCCATCTCAAGCTTTAACCTTTTGATTCCTTTCTTTACCAAGAGCAAAAGAAAAAAATTCTGTATTAACTATACAGAATATACATTATAAAAAAAATAAAGTATTATAAAAAAAAAAAAAAACATAAAAAAATAAAAAAAAAAACATCAAAAAATAAAATAAAAACTATATTGAAAATAAATTAATTTGAGTTTATTTGAATCCAAAACAAACCATTTGAACCCAAGACAGGTTTATTTGAACCCAAGACAGGTTTATTTGAACCCAAGATAGGTTTATTTGAACCCAATATTAGTTCTAATTCTTAGAGAACCTAAGACAAAAAAAAATTAGAAACTTAAACTCAGACAATAACCGGGTTCCAAGAGTTAATATAGTTGAGACCTAAGAATTAGAATCTCAAACCCGGGGCAACGCCCGGTCCTAAAAGCTAATAACTAAATATATATTAAGTTTGCAAAAAGTCGCTAGCATAGTTATACATGGGAGCCTAAATTATTTTTGAAAAATCGGATTTTCGGAAAATACTTTAGCATTGCTAAATTTTTTATATGAAGCCATTCGAAATAACTATATTATATGATGTTTTTGATGAAAAGAGTTCAAAAAATTTCGGCAATAGTTTCGGCAAATATGAAAATTAATTTCGGCTGCCTAAATGCCGTAATTACTTTTTTATTAAGATGGGAAATTTAGGCACCCATGTATAAGCATAGTACTAGTGAGTAATAAATAGTATTGTTGAAATTTTGAGCATTATTTTTCTAGAACTGAAGTGTTTAACGGTTAATATTCGATTATCGATTTTAGAATCGATTCAGGGATTTTAATCGATCATAAAAAAAAGAATTGAAATCATTTTTTTACAAGGCAATTTAAAAATAAAAATAAATTTGTAAATCGTGATAAATTATTATTTTAATCTGTATAAAGAATGCAATCAGATGAAGAAACTAAAAGTTGAACAAGTTGAGTAATGTATTATATTGTGACAAAAGTTGATAATATACATACGTATCCGATTCTTCAGACTAATAAATTTATTTTATAAAACAATAACCTATTGACATTTATGCTCACGTAGCTTTTGTATTTCCGACATAAAGGTGATAAAGTATTCATTAATACAATAAATTCATCTATGAGCTGATTTTAAAAGCCTTTCTAAGATACTGCAATATACATATTTATTTGTCATTCATCACAAATGCAACTAATTTCTAATCTCTTCATTTAATCGTTTAACTAGTCTAGCTCAAAAACTTAAAGCTAATAATGCAATTATCGGGTAATATCATTATATATTTGAATCATGAACAATAATTTTAAAGTTAGCGCAAAAAAAAATCTTACAAATTCACTACTTTGAAATTCAAATTAATGAGAAGTAAATAATGCGTAATTTGATATTAAATGGTGATGGTTTATAAAATATTTGGCGGCTTCAGTATGTTCAACAGGTTTTTGGATGTAAATTGCGTAAAATTTAAATCAGAATATTCTTATAAACAGCAGAACTTGTTATGAACATGAGCCTCACTATCATAATGGTTTTGTTGACTTAAATCTTTTACCACAATATTCGCCACCTACTCATAGATACATTGGCCTGATAGTATATTATAGAATTAAATCATATGATTTCGGTTTAATCAGATAATAGGTACTGTATAAACTCTTGGTAACAACAATGATAAAGTATATTGATTAACCCGGTTCTTTCGACACTCATTTTGTAGACATAACATTTCACCGACATGTTTACTTCACCGATACTTCAGTACTTAACTCACGGACAATTTATTTCACCGACAGCTCATTTCGCAGACGATTAATTCTGGTCATTTTCGTTAGGGTCAGGGTTAGAATTAATGTTACAATAGTATAATTTTGCAGATTCCTGAGTGATGAAATGATTATTTAAAAAGAGCGATTATAATTACTGTTATATATTCTTTTTTTAAAAGTATGGTTTAGTGTGAGTTATATTATAAGAAAGCATCTTTCATTTAAGAAATGGTTTATTAACTATATCGTATCAGTTATTAGATTTTTATTACAAATAACCGGTGATGGGTCTACAGGAGGGCTAATAGTACAAATTTAGTTAGATTCTGAACATTTTTTGCTTAGTATCCCTGACATGAATTAGCTAGTAGGTTTTTAAGATATATCATCCGGTGTAACTACCATCGGTTATAGTTAGTAATATTCTGTTAGTTAACATATTTATGTTTATTTTGTTTATTTTAGATTTTTTGTCAAACTTTCCGGTTGTAAAAATAAAAGAGTACTAATGTTTTTTTTGAATTCAATAACAATAATCTTAGAGGTTAAAGTTTGAAGAAATGAAAAAAAACATATTTTTGAAAAATAAAACGGACATTAGAAAATGGTGTTTTCGTTCTATTAAAATTTATAATTTTATTATCGTTATCGTTAGAATTTTTTTTATCTGATGAAATTACTTTTGCTAATTAATGTTTACTTACTACATGATTCATATATTTTATATTTTATATTTTATATTTCATTAATTGCCTACAATTAAATCAAGTAAAGACTTAATAATATTGAATATAGGAATGTAATTTGTTTATTTAAAATAAATAAACATTTTTTACAAAATTTATTCATAAAAACTTAACTTATTACATGTCTTGCTAAAAAGAGAGTTTAGTAGTATAACGACACTTGATTAAAAAAAAAAAAAAATGTCGCTATACTGAGGTATGTTGACATCTTATATTACTGTATATATTAGAATATTGTAAAAAAAATGTTAGTACAGAAAGATTTTACAATGATGTGATAAATGAATACGTAAAACTATTAAAGTTTAATTTTAAAATTTTATTGGACGAGGTATACATGTGACTCGGAAATAGCAAATTATGCAGTTATGTACCGTAATTTCTTTTTTTTTAGTTCTAAATTTAGGATAATTAAAGTAAACATAACACCGATCTGCAGGATGCAGATATTCATTAAGTTACACATGCGAAAATGGCCAATTATAAAAACACTGTGTTTCGAAAAAAGATTTTTTTTCTCCGTTATTGAGATTTTCTCGAAACTTGTCGGAGATGAAACTTTTCGTTTAAATCATTAATAAACATAAAGATTTTTTTTTTTTTTAAAAAAAAAATAAACAAACATGGACAATGATGACGAAGGGGGATATGATCCTCGAGATTTTGTTTATTCTCAATCAAGTGATTCTGGTAAATATATTTTTTTAGGTATATTCCTTGAAATAAATTAAAAAATTCCAGTTTACTGATAATTTTTAACAGGTTCAGATGATGAAATGATCAATTTAAAGATTAAAAATTCAAAATATAGAGAATACCAAGCACCTGGTAATTGATATTTCTTTTATTCGTTTAAAATTATTTACGATATAAATTTATGAAGAAGCTAACTTAATAAAATTATGAAAAAAGGTTCTAACTTGACTTCTAGAAATGTTAATAACACTGCGAATCAAAAAGAGTTCACCACGGAATATTATAATAATGAGGATGATAATTCGATGGACTCGTTTTGCCATAAATTGCAGAAACTGGATGTCGATACGTCTCAATGTAATGTATTTATGTAATATATTCGAAAAAAAAAAAATCTTATTTAGATATTTTACACAATAGTTTAACGAAATATATTTTTCAATAGATACCTTATCCTTTTCTAAATTATTGTCCACGCCCACGCCTAATATTCCTTCCGATTATTCTGATTCAGCAGATGAACACTTGAAAACCGCTCAAAATTATTCAAGATCAAGATTTACTTGCATTCGTTTAGCAGATTCATTTTCAACCTCTGCTAAATGTAAGTTCATATGTTATTAATATCATTATTACTGTATTAAAAATTTTATTTTCAATAATTAAAAAATTTTCACACATGTATAATAACATGTATAATGACATGTATAATGTATATAGGTATTAATTCATACTCTCAGTCATTACCAGCATCAATGTCTGTTGAAAATAACACGCTTCATTCCATTGAAAATCCTTTGCAATTAGGCTGCAACCATCCGGAATGTAATAAAGCATTACAACATAATATTACATCATCATCAAATTCCTACCTTGATATGAATCAATCAACAAACGCTCACTCATATCAATTGCGTCATCTTCACTCTACATTATCTAAACCATTAATAGATCCGATAACTAAGCATCCATCAAAAACTCTATCTTCGTATTCTCATCAAAAGAAATCTTTAAAAAATCAACAAATTAAGAATACTATACCAACACGTTCAAATCCCAAAAGAACCTCAACCATCATTCTACCTTCGTATGAAAATATTCAAAAAGTGAAAAGATTAATAACTTGTAAGAAAACGAATTGTGGAAAATTATTTGCTACCGTATCTGAATTAGAAGTTCATGAACAAACTGTACATCCATATAAGTGTAATTATTGTGATGCAAGATTTGATAAAACTTATTATGCCGAAAAACATATGCATTTGCATAATCTTAAGTTTCCAATGGAATGTGAAGTACCAGGATGTGGTAGTATTTTTTATGCGAAGAAGCCTTACGAAAGTCATTTGATGAAACATCAAAAAAAGGTAGAAAAAATGCATTTACGAATAAAATTAGAAGAAACCAATAATTCAGAGAAAATTATTGATCAAAAGACAAAAATTAATGATGAAAGGACGAAAATTAAAGATAAAAAAACAAAAATTAATGATGAAAAGATGAAAACGAAAGATAAAAAGACAAAAGTTAATGATGAAAAGACGAAAATGAAAGATAAAAAGACAAATCATTTACGTAAAGCAAATACTAAAAAATTAGTAGAAAATGATAACAACGAAAGATCTAAAGTAAGCACGAATAAGAGAAGTGGAGTAAACGAAGATAATAAAGATTTTGTAGAAAATGGTAATAACGAAAGATCTAAAGTAAACACGAATAATAAGAATAATAAGAGAAGTGGAGTAAACGAAGATGATAAAGGACATAAAATAAATATGAATAATAAAAAGTTTAGAGTAAGTGCGGATAATGAAAGTTCTGAAGTAATGGTAGATAGAGTTGTGGTAGTGATAACAGATACGTATCAATAAATAGAAAGGAAGTAGCAGATTAGATAATTGTGTAAAGTATTTCGATATAAATGGTAGAAAGGAAAAGGTAGCAATTAATAAATAGTAATAGAATTAAATCAAGAAATTATAATCAATTAAGGATTATGTTACAATTAATTTTATTATAAACAGTCGTTTAATATTTTTCATCAATCTAATTTTTACGGTAACTATAAAAAAATTTTATGATTCTTTGTTTGATGATTAAGTGTTCGTATCAAAAAACGTTATCAATTATGTCAACTACTGTTACAGGTTAATCATACGTATACAGTACTATTAAGTATCGCGTAGTTAATAGTGATAACGATCACGATACGTATGATTAATGTTTTGATTAAACCTGAAACCGGACAAAGGTAAAATGAGCCGACAACTTTATTCCTGAAGAGAAACTCTTAACAAAAATTAGGATAGTTTCCACTCGTATATCAAAAAAAGATTCTTTCCTTTTATTGATGTACGTCAAATTAAAATTTGCGTTAAAACAAAATTTAACGAGTTTTGTTAGAGTTATCGGAATTGTTGTTATTTTGACTTTATGCAAATTTTAATTTGATACACCAAATAGTCACGAGAATAGATGTTTTTTAGTAACCTGCACTTTTAGTAAAAAAAAAAAAAAGTATAGTAATTTTGTTACATGAAATTAAATTGGCTTGAACGTTTTGCGTCGATCAAAATAGATCGATTTTAACTTTTAAATTGTGTAAAAAAAAAATCACGTAATAAATATGGAAATAAAGATATAATTTTCTTGATCCTGAGTCCTTCGATTGAATGACTTAAGGTTTAAATATTGGATTACTCATACTTTCAAATTTATTATATTATTACTGTACTAGACGAATATTCAAAAACAATTACCCCATTTTATCTTATTCGATCCTCAAGATAAAATTTGGCAAAGGTAGTGAAAACAAATATGTTTGTTAAAAAGTAAGTAATTTATGAATAATATAACGATAAGCAATTTAATTTTTAAGTAAAACGAACGTTTTCTGTTCAAAAAAAAAATTTTACTATATACATGACGATATTAATACGTATACATATATATATTTTTTAAAAAAAAATTTATGTAATACGTGATCAAAGAAATATTTATTTATGCGTAATAAAAGATTACTATATATATAAATCATCATCATCGATTGTGAATAGGGATTAGTCTAGTTCGGTCTGGTTTATAAAAGACCGGTTATACATTTTAGCTGGTAATTTGTGGACCAGACCGGCTAAGGACCATAATTGGAACCGTTATTAGAACCAAGGGGGGTTGTTACAAGATCAATTCGATTTATTTACAGTGATTCAGATTTCTGATTTCATTTTTATCTTATATAATGATAATATATCATCATAAAAAATACATCTATTTCGTTTTCTGATTTCGAAATCTCAAAACAGAAATGAGAATTTTTAAACTCCCATTTATTTTAGAAATAAGTTAATACCGAATCACTTTAATACGTATAACCGATTGAGTTCATATATATTAAAATAGCGCATTTATTTTTAATTATTATTGCCAATATGCATATTTATTATTATTTGTTACTATTTATATAGCACATTTAATTAACAAAATACGTAATTAACTTTTAAGTTAATGATTATACAAATCTTCTTTGACGGTTTTTTAACCCGAATTTGAACTTGAACTATATTTAACTAGAACCGTGTTTAACCAGGACTATAATTAACCGGAACCAACATAAATCGAAAATCGACGCAGAACAGGTACACACTATAGATTACTAGAGATTGCAGGTTAGAAGTTCTTTAACCGGTTAATTATATGGCTAATATAAAACCTGCTTTAAATACATATTGCCTCTGTTTTCTGCAAAAATCGCTCATATGCCTTCTTATTATTTATCTTCTTATTTTAAATAAGGTTGATTATTATTATATAATTTTCATTCGTGATCTATTAGATTTTAAAGCGTACTCGATTGTTGTTAAGTACTCATATCTTGTTGGAAGTACTCATATCTTGTTGGAAACTAAGATTAGACGTTGCACCCTGATTAAATATTTAATTATCTATCATAACGTGTAATTAATTTTACTAAGAACGAGCTTATTCCTGTACTTTTATGATCATATAAACCTTGAAATTCTAGAATACCAAATTCCTGAATTAATGTAAACCATAAATTCTCGAAATTCGAAGAGATAACTTCGATCAGCTATATTTACTATTACCGATTTTAACCGTTCATATTTTTTTTAACCGATTAATTAAACTTTAATCGGTTAACCGGTCAATAATTAATCGGTTCCAATCTCTAGTGACAGTGAATTCAGAAATTTTATTTTTGTCATAAATCGTACTGTATATGATTTCAACAGCCGTTATTATCGTTATTATCGTTATGATATTTTCTTTTACTTACGTATATGAAATTACCTGATCTCGAATCAACCTTAAGTGCAGTGTTATTAATTGGAATATTGGAAGAATTGGAGGCTTATTCTTAATACAGTAAAATCAATTGAATTGAATGCTTCCAATCAAATTTTTATGTTTTTGGAAGTACAATTTAATAATACTCTAAGTGGGTCACTTTAAAGGGAGCCGGTTTAGAGTTGGTTCATGTTTCAAGTATTTATAAGAAACAATGCTACGTATAAACAAGATTGTACCTGTCAAGAAATCTCTACCCGGGTATTACATTGCGGCGAAATTATGAAATACTCCAAAATTTAAAAAATTTGACCACTAAGATATAAATATAGATTTTGGCTGAGATAAGAAATTTTTCCCAGCTAAGGTGCGTCGTTATTATATGTTTAATAAGGGTGGGGAAGAAGGGTTAGTTGCGTTATCAGTCTAGATCAGAGGTCCAAAAAAAAATTTTCGGGGTTTGGTATCGACTTATTAATATGTAAATTGGTAACTAAGATTTACTTTGGGGGCAAAGTACTCGGATTTGGTGACTAAATTTCATAAATTCGTCATGATTATAGGTGCAGAAACTTGGAAACATGTGGTTACGTCAAAAGTCCATAACAGACGTATGTCATAATAGCCAACATTTGCTGTAACTGAGATTTTGAATATAACTCTAGTATTTAGACGTGATGTAGAAATTTAATTGACTTAATGTTATTTTGAGTTAAAAAGTTTATTTAATTAACTTTTTAAAAAAATAAACAAATAAATAAATTGTACGAAAATTAAAAATAAATAAATCTTTAAACAAATTAGGTGAAAGTAATAAATTAAAATTAGAACGTTGTGCAATATGTCTTTAATCGAACCCAATTCTGATACTTCTACGCCATTAGAAACTACATCATCAGATTCAGAAACTGATTATGACTCACCACATAAAAGAGTTTGAAAAAGTGGTTCTGTCTTTGATGAAGTATGGGATTACGTGATCGAGGGTGGAAAAGTAAATCCTGGGCACTATAAAGTGAAATATTATCATTGTGAAAAGTCATGGCAAAGGGATAAACCTTATATTTTAAGATCTCACCTTGCACTTTATTGTCAGAATGTTCCTGAAGGTATTTGATGATATTGGCTTAAAAAACTTGCAGAAGATAATAATGCTCACAGAAGAGATTCTCAACTGCAAATAGTCCTACCACCACAAGTCAATATTAATTATGATAAACTTGTCTTAAAACTTGGGCAATGGTGAATATCTCATTCAAGGTAATTGAGAATCCATACATCAAATGTCTCTTTAAAAGCCTTAATCTTACATATGTATTACCATCACATATAACATTATCTGGACAATTGCTAGATGAAAAAGTTGCTTATGTACAAAATAGTATCAATGATGAATTAGAATGTGTTGAATATCTAACATTAAGTATGCATGATTTTAATTAAATTTTAATTATTTTACTTAATGTAGTTTTAAAAATATTGTAATTTATAAAAATAATTAGCACTTGATAGGTGGACCTCAAAGCATGGAGAATTACTATATAATTACATCATAATGACTACAGAGTGAAAAGAATATCTTATTTCATTATAGAATTATTCAATAGAATCACACATAGGCAATTTTATTGCTTCTAAAATTTCAAATATAATTGAGAAAATCAGGCCTAAGAAATTTTCTGCTATTGTTACTGATTTAGTATCAAATCTCCAATCTGCTAGAAAAAAAATATATAAAAAATACCTGCATGTATTAAATCTCAGGTGCATCACTTATACTATCAACTTGATAGCAATGGATTTAACAAAGATTTATAAAATAAAGACATTCATTGATTAATATGAAAAAATTATAACACACTTTAACATTATTATGACAAGAATTAAAAAATATGAAAATAAGATCTGAAGGCTTAGAAACATGTTTATAGATGGGAGTGAAATTAAAATTTAGGTTTACAATATTTTAACCATTAAAATTAAATTCAACTATTGAAACTGAATTTATTTTTAACTGTTGATTAATTTAATTGTTAAATTAATTCAACTGTTGAAATTAATTCAACTGTTAAAATTAATTTAACTGTTAAAATTCAACCATCAAAATTAATTAAATTATCAAAATTATTACTATAATTATTTGAGTTAGTCTTTATTATTAAAGAACTTAGAATTAAAAAAAATATATATAATATTCTGGAAATAAATAAGAGTTTAAAAAATTTTATTTGTACATCAAAATTTGAAATCAGAAAATAACAAAATACAGAGTAAATAATAAAACTTTCACTTAAATTACTTCACTCAAAATTACTTACTAAACCTTTTCAAATTACTTATTAAGCCTTTGCTGAAATTATTTTTTTATATACAAATTACTTACTGAGCCTTCGCTCAAATTACTTACTGAACTTTTGCTCAAATTACTTATTAAACCTTCATTTAAATTATTTTTTTTTATATCTTGCTAAACCTTTGCTCAAATTATTTATTAAATCTTTACTTAAGTTATTTTTCTATATAACTTACTAAACCTTTACTCTAATTACTTACTAAACCTTTGCTC